TGTAGGTTCGGAATGTCACGCGAAATAGAGCCCCTTCATAGAGCAAAAACAGGAACAAGAGCAAGTCCTGGACTCAGTTTTTCGTCATAGTCAAATATTAAAGCAACTCTACAGTACACAGCAAACCTTCAAGGTGCCTTGTCACGCCAACTACCATGCTTTAAAAGGGAATCTATCATAAAGCCACTCGGGGTAAAAGGCGTTATCCAGTGTTGCTGGCAGATCTTTCTGCTTCGTACTTACACAAATTGTTAGCGGACACTGAAACACATTTCTAACGTGACCCGGGATTCAGCTATGAAGTCATACGTTTACAGAAGCGTTGTTTGCCTATACTCAGATGAAGCGCAACTGCAGTGCAACAAATTGCAGCGAATCGTTTACTTGCGTTTTGTGCACGCGAAATTGGCTCGCTAGTCCCAGTGTGCTGGTTCATGAAGCAATGCTAGGGAAATGATGGACTGCCCCAGTGCATCTGTAGAAAGCCGCATCATTGCAACAATACGCAGGCACCTAGTACAGAAGAATGAAGTTTCTAGTGTTCTGAAATCGCCCTTATTCGCAAATATTCCACGTATCAGTATGATACTTTAGCTCCTGATCATGAGCAGAACGGGGCTGCCCGTTAGATGCTGCCACTGGCTAAGGTAACCGAATGTCAAATGCATCCTGCATGCACAATGGACCATGCCAACGGTATGTACATGCTCTGAGTAGTTCACTACATATCTGTCAGGCTAATTTTTTGTTTTCAAGTTATGTTAAATTGCTTGTATGGGATAGTGCACACTTATCTGGGTTATCGGGAAAAGAGCACAGGAGTGTAAGGGCGCATCATTGCACCCTTTTAGTCTGGGGCAGCTCGACGGCTCGTGCGAAACCGTGGGAGATCGGAGCTCACTATAGCCCAGGCTTGTGAAAATTTGACATTTTCTAAGAATTAATAATGATTCTAGAAGGCCCTCCTGCGCCAACGCTGGTAGGCTTCCGTTTTGGCGCTCCACACTGTAGAAAGAAACGCATATTCCTCTCCACCCGCTAGCAGAAAAACCACACATGTCGGGGAGCCGTCAGGTGTTGGAGCAGGAGGGTCTTCTAGAGTCACTTTCAATTATCAGAAAATGCCAGAGCAGTTATATGCATCTAGCTCTGCGTTCGGCTGCCATTCCCAACAGGTGCGCTACGGACCGTGCGTTGAAATCTCTCCAGATTCTGCAGAAGCTGCCGCTCTTTTGTCAGAGAGCAGCAACGAAGAAACTAGAGATACAAAAGCTCTTATAGAGCAAATAAAGAGAGAGGCACAAGGATCAAGAGTACCTGTTGAAGCGGTACTCGATGCATTGTTTCCCCCTCTTGTTTGGAGGGAAGGAGACCGCTTATTCGTTCAGGCATGTCTGCATATACACGCTTTGTTGAGCATAATTGTAGAGTTTGCTCGCTGACTTCCCTGCTAGCTTTAATGAGCGGACTGGCAGCAAGGGTGCGCAGGATGAACCAAGGGATGAACCAAGTGTTGTCTTTTGTTATGGATTATTCTGCGCGTTGTACGCATTTGTCTATGCTGGGGATGCAACATTTGTCAGCATGTAAGCACAGCGGCTGCAGATCGAGTGGATGTGTTGAAGACACGTGAAGAGCTAGATATACAGCTTTTGGAAAGACGAGCATCGGAAACTGGCGTGTGTGCATGCCGGTATGATGCTGTACTTCAGTGTTTCGGTAGGCACAGGTTGTGCATTTTATATGACCAGCTATTCTATGTGTCAACGCGAAAGGTCACAGTAGACTGCGTGCAGAACTCGCTTTCTAAGAAACGTTAAGAATTTTCATGTTTGGCGCGGTAGGCATCTCGCGGGCACTAAGCAAAAAGCTGCCTAATTCAGTGTTCGATGCTAAAGTGTGCAAGTATGTGTTCGCTACAGACGAGCTCATTCGACAAATCGCAATCCTTTGTCCTGAACGGGCACTACTTCTGCTGAGGTGCGCTTCAGAATTAATTGTAAAGCTTCACCGGTAGCTGCAGTACGCTACGGCGTTTCTAGCTGGTCGTTTATTTCATTCTGTATTGCGCAGAGTCAAGGATGAAATTAAACTTACCATATCTGCCTTGGAAGTCCTTTGTAAAAGCTCCATCAATTTTTCTGCTCTTAAACAAATACAAAGCGACGGAATCAAGTCGGCTGCCACCCAGGAGCAGGCATGGCTTTGCACGCCAAGCTGGTAGCGCAGAAAATGAGTTACACTGGCTAGAGAAAGGTCACATAAGGTTGCCTTCTTCTGATGGCAGTCTTGTGAGGAAAAATTGTTGAGGTATCAAAAGGAGGTGGATGTGCTCTTTTGCAGCTGGAGGAGCTGCGAGAGAAAAATGAGGAACTGAAGGCAACCTTGGCAATAACGAAAAACAAGATTGAGACATCAAAGGCGTATGCTGTGACACAGTGCTCACATAAACTTTTCGACAGAGACGCGCCCCAGCACTTTAGTGACCATCCGGTTGAGACAAACGATCGCCTGTTCACCATCATGCTGAGATCTTCGGTAGAACTAGTGGAGACAACGACTACTGAGAGAAAATTTGAAACAAATAGCAACACGAAGGGTTTCGTGATTTTTCATGTTAGTTTGATCAAAACCTTGATGTTCTGTCAAGCTCGAAACGCATCAAATAGGCACCGGGACTCTGATACGTTTTGGTCCCCATTAGTTCACGTCGGCACTTTTTAATCCTCTTTTCCGCTACTTGCGGTGTTTGTTTTGCAGTCAAATGACGGAAGAGTATAATGCAGCTGTCAAGCAGCATGCCAACGAAGTGGGTTGTACAAATGCCTGTAAATGCATGCAAGCGATAGCCAGTGGCCTCAGGAACAGAAGTGTCGTGATCTAGGCATCCAACTCTAAAGTGCGGCTTGCACTGTTTTAATGCGGTTTTCTTACAGATTGAGATGATGCGACAACAACTCGCTATTCTTGAGACTATCTTTATCAACACGCACAACGCGCGGGGCAAGGTTACCACGACTAGCCAGGGACCTAACCAGGCAACCTCTTAACTACGCAAAATGACGTTACTTTTATCATACTTTATCGTCTCTGCTGCTGCTCTGTACTGCCATTCCTTGAATGAATCGCCATTTTCTACTGTCAGAAAAACCTCTGGCTCTTACTTATTCTAGTTGTGCCGAGGGCTCAGTCGCATTTGTCCAATTGATTAACGGCCAGAATGCGGCAGCTGTCAGCAATAAATCCAATTTTGAGTGCACCTACTGAAGCTTAGGAGACTTTTATAAGTTTAGGAGTTCTCCTGCAGCAACTGCTGCTTAGCAATTTTCCAGGCCTCTGTTTTCCAGTATACAACATGACTTGGCAGCATGAAAGGGTTGAGGACTGGGTAAAGTGGTACTAACCACCAACTCAAAGAAGACATATAGCGTAAGCGCTAGATCTGCTCGGTCTCATGATTCTACGGGCTACTGCACGCACGCAGATAACCAACTTACGTAGCGGAGACAATAGAGTCTGGCTTCTCACTGTTCCATATGAATTAAGGAGTTGGGAAAATTTGTTAATCATAATACAGAGTATAAGATCATTAATCAAATATACTGAAGAGAGAATTACACTGAGCTGTGAAGACTCATCACTCTTTCCTACACCACTCTTGTTCCGTTTTATCGAGACCGAAACCCTATATGCCAACTCTTTTCGTAACTTTAGTAAAGTGGCAATGAGGGCAGCTAGTTTCGTTCAGACCTCCATTTGGAACAGCCCTCATACTGGACTCTGTCAATGTCGGGAAGCCGCCATGTAAATCAAGGGAATGTGTTGTATGGGTTCTTCATCGTAATATTGCTCAGCATGGTTTCTTCAAACTGCAAGAGGTGAGGTGGCACCCGTTCCATTTATGTGCTTTACTGTCTGCATCCTCTACGCAAATGCCGTAGCACTCAGGCTTCAGAATTACGGCTAGAACACACGTTAAGAAGGAGGTTGTAGCCAATTGCCAACTTGCTGTAGTGTCCGTACACAGATAGCCAACAGCGTCTGCGGCATTAGCCAGCCCCACAGACCCTGATCCGATCCAGTGGGCTGGGCAGGTGGCAGGTGGGGGCTCATATATATTGTGTTCCAAGATAACCAACAGCGCAATATGAAGCAACTAAGTACAAGTATAAAGAGCAATACACAGTTAGATCCTAAACCATGACGTCGCCCACTCAGGTCAGTTACGTGCAACTGCAGTTGCCTCTGTTGTTTACTGACCCTTCTGACAATCCTGCGCTTGCCTTTTCACAGTTAACCTGCCGTCAAGCGTTAGGGAATTTGCGCCCTCAGGCGTCTATACAGTAGCTGATCGTAAAAGTAAGATTCTGGCAGAAGCTGCAAGTGCTGTAACCGTGAAAGGAAAATGTTTCCAAAACAATTCGAGGAGAACGTGCCCCCTTCACTTTCCCAATGTTCCACCGTGTCGGTGATTTATGAACGAATTTTTCAGACTTGTATAGACACTGGCTTTTAAAGTGTGGCTCAAATCCATTTGCATAAGCTGGACCTTATCATAGGCCCGAAATTCGGCAGAAGGCTAGTAGAGCTTTCTGTGCGCCGGCTGTTGTCACCATGAGGTTCATAGACCTTAAGAGGAACTTTTCGTGCTGTTTTGTCTATGTTTGTCTCCCGGTGCCCACAGCGGCATCCATTCTCATGAGCTTTACACTCACCTGCCTCACTAGAGTTCCCATCATTTCCCGGCAAATTCGAGTCACATATAAAACAGTTTTAAAAACTGCAAGGTGGATAATGTCCAGAGATGAATTGCCATTGGATGTTCAGGCCGACTACGGAAACGTATTTGCGGCAGCACCAAATTATGTCCGAATCTTCAGACCTTTTGATTCTTACTATGGGGCCTTTAATTTCGCAGCTCATAGCTCGCCCACTGCTTCAGCGGCTCCAGCGACTGAGGAGCTCTCAATTAAGGCTTTCATAGTCTTAATTCTTTGCTGTCAGAGCGACCCGTCTTTGAGCATTCCGAGCTTCGCCTTAGTCTTGTTTAGCTCTCTAGTTACGTTGACATCCTCAGGGTTCAGTGTGTGCAATTCTTCATAGAGTCTCAAGGCATCTGGCAGGAGCCCTGCCTTGCGCATGCAGTAGGCTTGTAGCTGTTTCCATTTTAGTTCTTCCGGTCGAAGCAAAGAAGACAAAGAGAAATAGTCAATCGCTTCAGTGTACGATCCCTCGCGCAGCAAATACACACCTAGCCAGCTGGTAGTCCCAAGGTCCCAAGGACGTAGCCTGACGAAGCCAAATTGTAAAGTCCAAGACGGCAGCCCTCAATTCTAAATTGCAGCTTTTAAATCTCTTTGGCTATGCTCCTTTCTTACGCTAAGGAATTCACAAATTGTACCGGTAGTCACTGCTACTCTCACCTAAGGCCCATCATGTTGAATTCATGACTTTGTGTAAAACTTAGTGTGTTTGACCATTAGTTACATTACATGTCACTACGCCCTTGCGTGTCAACACACTAAATCGAGGCTGCTCAGAGTCCAGCCTTTGCGTGCATACGCCCATTCACGGCAGTTCAGAGCCTGCCATTTTGTATCGCTGAGAGTGCTGTCACTTGACTGGCGATCTGGGCAGGGCCTTTTCGAATGGCTTTTTACCCCTGACAGCCCCTTTATGCCACAGCCATTGTTGTCAAGAGCTTCGTGTTTCATATTAAAGCCTTTTCAAAGGCTATGGCCTTAATTTTTACGGCTTACTTTTTAAACTCTACGCAGCTACTGACGTGGCACAAGGCCTCTTGCTTAATCTCTCTGGGATTTTTGAGGTTCGGGCTAGAGACTAGGGCTAAACGCTTTGTGTTTGCTACAGCAGGACTCTCTATAGGGCGGCCGGGCTTTCGCCTAGTTCTGTGGCCCTCATACAGTGTCCAAAGCCTAGAGCCTAGAGTTTAGGGTTTAGTGTTTAGAGTTTAGGGTTTAAGATGTGGTGCCTGGATAAACGTACCCATAGGCCTCTCTGTAGTGGCCTAGGGCCTCTTGGCGCATGTTCAAGCTCTCGCTGAGCCGCCCCATTTCTCTCCATACTTTTGCGTCTTGGGGTCGCAGAGACGGCGAGGCAAGCAGCGCCAGAGCCTCTAGCGCTGAGTGCAGCTGCCCTTGCTTTGGGCCGCAGAAGCACAGCATGTGGGCAGCAGCCAGTAGATACAGTTTTGGGCACTCTGCGCAGCTAATTGCCTAAATTGGCATTCCTACAGCTCCTGCCAATTCCAGGGAGCTGCGGGCATTATAAGGCCGAGAGAAGAAGACCCAAAGATTCACTTCGAGCTGGTCTGGTTTGCAGGGAGTTAAAAGGGCTTAGGGTTAAGGGTTTAGGGCATAGAATTTGGGTACCTGCTCGTATATTTTGGCGAGGAGGAAAAGAGCCTCAGCGTGGGCAGGAAAGAGCGACCGCAGCCGCAGCAAGGCAGAAACCGCTTCTTCCTTCCTAATCAAATAAGGAAGAATAAACAAATAAAAAGAAAGAAATATATATACATATAAATGCTTATGTGTATGCGTATATATATGTATATTTCTGTACATTATTGCCAATATATATAGTAGTATATGAAGTATATGAGGGCTACATTTGTGCATCTTCATACATTTATGAACCTTTGTCGCTGCCTTTATAGTTCTACTCATGTCTTCTACATCTCTGTTTACAAATATTTGTTGTTTTTGTTAAATAAATCTTAGTACACCTCAGAGTCTAGTGGCCGCAACAAACAAATGAGGCTAAAGCTTCAAGAATGAACTTTAAGCATTGTCGCTGAACAATAGCAGGTCATTAAACCTTAAATCCTATACCTTAAACCCTTAACCCTATGGTGAATCTTTCAAATGGTCAGCAGAAACAGCAGAACAAAAAGCTACGAGTACTGCAACGACGAACTGTCCATACACTGCATTTTGCCCTCCCCGCTTTCTAAAATGTCTCTGCTGCTACTGCTGACGCCGCTGCTGCTGCTGCTACCTGTCCAGTTTATGACAAGCAACAGCAAGATTAAACAAAGCTTCCTGGCATCTGTTGTCTCGCTCAAATGCTTTTTCAAAACTCGCTTTTGCTGCTGCGGCTTCCCCGCGCTGCAACAACACGCAACCTTTGTTCACTAGCGCCTTAGCGCTGCTCCTGCAGCAGCAGCAGCAGCATCACAGAACTCAAGAGCGCAGCAGCAGAATGACCATCAGCAGCAGTAGTGGGAGCATGATCGCCAAAGCAGGAGCAAGAATAGCTGCAGCAACAGCAGCAGCAGCAGCAGCACCAACAATCATGCTTCACGCGAGCACATGGGAAAACAAGGTTGCAAATAGAAATCGCGTTTGTCGCAGCCTAAATTCGGATAAGCAGATAATAAGGCAGCACAAAAACTGATATGACAAAGAAAGCAAATTAAATAGTAAACAAACAAAAGATGTGGATTAAGTAAGGAGAAAAAGTGCAGGCAAATACAACTAAGAAGCGATTCAAAGATGGACACAGCGACATGCGACCTAGACCAGTGGGGAAGACCTAGAATCAGCAGCAGTAGCGGGAACTGCTGCTGATTCTGGGTCTGATTTGCTGATTTGAGTGTAGCTGCTGCTGAAGCTAATGCTAATCTGCTATAGCGGCTGTTACTTTGCTGCTGGTGCCGCGGTGGCAGCAAAAAGCAGCAGCTGCACCTGCTACACTTGCTTTTGCTGCTGCGTGTCCTGCTGCTGCTGTTATTACTGCTGCTGGTGCTGGTGGTGGTGCTGCTTTACCTGTCAGCAGCAAGCGCCATGTCTGCGTAGACGTCCGCTTGCTGCAGGTCCCCCTCGAGTACGAAAATGAAAGACAAATTAATTGCTGCTTTCAGCAGCGAAACTCTGCTGCTGCTGCTGCTGCTGCCTTTACTGTTACATGCTTTGTAGGCAGCAATTGCTGCTTCTTCTCTACCCTCCCGCAGCCATCCCATGGCCCTCTCGAGTTCCACTTCGCCGGCCAAGTTTTCGAGGCCTAGAGAACAAATGGGAAAAAATTATCTACAAAGTGATGATAAGTATAATAATTAACTAATTAATTGATATTTGTTGAATAAATTAGTAAATTAACTGACTAATTCGACACTAAGCTGCTCGTCGAATAAATACGCAAATGGTAAGAAATTAATTATCAGCCATTTGCTTAATAGATTAATTAATTAATCTATTATTCATAATAACAATACATTATATTTTTATTTATTTATTATTGCTGCTGACCGTATTGCCTCAGGGCGTTTATAACCTGCTGGTATATTTCGCCTTTTTGCCTCGGCGAGAAATAAACTAATAAACGCATAGCAGCTAGAATGCACTCGTCTTCATCCAAAAATGAAGTCTCTGCTTTCGTTGCTGCTGCCGCTGCTGCTGCTGTTTCTGCTGCTGTTGTGACGGCAGAGCAGGCAGCACCACCAAAGGAGTCCGCAGCAGCACCTGGAGCTGCAGGAGCATCAGCAGCAGGAGGCGCTGCTGCTGCTGTTAGTACTGGTTCTTCATCTTCTAGAGCAGAGATATCCACACAACCCTTGAGGTCCTCTGACTCTGTAAAACACCTAAACCCTAGACCCTAAACCCTAAATCCTAAGCCCTAAACCCTAAACCCTAAATTCTAAACTATAGAGCTTGCTAAAGGGTTTAGAGACAGCAGGAGCAGCAGCCTTGAGCAAATGCTGCGCAGCAGACGCTACAGGCTGGGTAGCAGCAGCAACAGCAGCACGAACGCTGCAGCAGCAGCCACCTAAAGCAGCAAGCAGCTGAGCTGCTGAATGGATTTAATACCTCTTTTTATTTTCTCCTGCTTCAGCAGTAAAAGAGAAACAAAGAAATGCTGCATCCGTTCCGAGTCGCCCAAAGCCGCCCAGCAAAGAAACAAATTGAAGGACACCAGCAGCGAGGAAGCAGACAGTGGGGCCAGCTGCAGCAGCAGCAGTGGCAGCAGCGGCAGCAGCAGCGGCGGCAGCTGCAGCGGCGAACAACCCTCTACATGATTAGTTGCCTTCAGAATTGTCGAAACAGGCAATAGTTTTTTCTATTTTCCTGTGTGCCACGTTTGATCAGTCTATTTATTAGCCAGTACCCAGTGGTTAGCTACCCAGCTAGCTAAGCGGCTAGCCGGCTAGGTGGCTAGCTCGCGGACTGTGTGTCTACCTCTTTAGCCACCTAACTCCACAACTCGCTAATTTGCTCGCCAGCTAGCTGGCTAGCTAGCTAGCTAGCTAGCTAGCTAGCCCGATAACGAGCCCGACAGGTAGCTGTGGTTAGCTAGCTAGCTAACAAGGTCCCTAACTAGCGAGTTGGCTAGCTAGCTAGATGGCTAGCTAGCCAGCGATTCAGCCAGCTAGCGCATGCTTTCTCTGAACTTCTGCAGCTAGGTGGCCAGCTAGCTGGCCAACTAGCTGGTAAAGTCTTGGAGAAAACATGAGCAAATTGGCAGCAAAGATTTACCTCGAGGGATTTCTCATTTGCCTCTGCTGCTTCTGAAAAACGACCGAGGCAGAAGTAGCAGCTGCCTATACACCCCAGCAACCTCGCGCGCAGGTGTTTGTAGCCCTGCAAGGCGAAGCATACTTAATGAAATTTAACTTATATAATTCTTTTTGCTTTTCTAATCCGGTAGAATTCCTTTTCAGGACTTGTTTGCTGCTGCTGCGTCCAGAGTTCAGTTACAGTTGTGTGCTTGCACGACCAGCAGCAGCGGCAAATGCAGCAGCAGCACCAAACGCGGTAGCAGTAGCAAACGCGGCAGCAGCAGCAACAAACGTGGCAGCCGCAGCAATAGCACTGTCAGAAGCAGCAGCGGCAGTAGCAACAGCAGCAGCAGCAATGGCACCAGTAGAAACAGCAGGAGAAGTTGGAGTTGAAGCCCAAACCCAGTACCGTTATCAGCAGCAGCAGCACCCCCAGAAGTAAGCAGCAGCAGCAGCAACGCCGGTACCAGCACCACAACACTCCCCGGCCTCAGCAGCAGCAGCAAACGCAGCAGCAGCAGCAGCAGCAAACCTGGTTGCTGTTGCTGACTGGAACATTATCAAGAGCAGACTTGAAGGCTTTGAGAGCCTCAGAGGGTTTTTGCTGCTTCAGCAGCAAGGAGCCCACATTTGATCGCAGCCTGAAAGCAGCAGAAAGGACTACAAACAATTAATGAATAGATAAAGATAAATTTAATAATAAAAATAATAAATGGTGATCAAATAATTTCGCCTTTCCGCTTACAAACGAACGAGAAACAACGTACGATAAAATTGGGGACAAGGAACATTTAGAAAACAGCAAAAACAAAAAAATAAAAAGTTAAAAGTAAGTACTTTGTCTCATTCGTAGCAACTTGATTCTCAGTGAAAAAAGGAGAAACAAGTTAGAAATACATCAACTTATTTTAAATAATTAATTACAAATTAAGAATTAAAGTTTAATGGACGAGTTCTTTCAGTGGATAGACAGCAAAAATAGTAAAATTAATCAATACTAAGTTGCAAAGAAGTAAAGACTAGTGCATAATGAATCGAAGAAAAGAAAACAACTCCAAAAGAAATAAAAAAGAAATATTTACAACTTCCGAGTTTCAGGGAGCCTCGAGTCGCTGATGAGTTTACTGTAAAGGTCAATGGCTTCGTTAGTGCGCCCCGCAGCCTGCAGCAGCAGCGGCAGCGGCAAAAGCAGCAGCAGCAGCAGTTGTAGCAATACAACTGGCATGAAGCGGACGCAGCAGCAGCAGCAGAGGCAGAGAGGCTGCAACAACACATTGCAGCAGAAGCAACAGTACCACGAGCAGCAGCAGAAGAAGCAGGATCACGGGCAGCAGCAGAAGCAGCAGAAGCAGCAATAGCCGCAGTACAAACAGCAACAAAGGAGGCAGCAAAAACACCAGAAAAATGAGCAGCAAAAGCAACAGCAAGAACAGAAGCGGCTCAAGCAGGAGACGCAGCAGCAAAAGCAGGAAGCTAAGCAGCACCGGTCACCTCGAGCTGCTGCGCAAGATGAACCGTTGCTGCGAGCTCAAGCGACAGTGCATTCGCTTCGATAACTCCTGCTTCTCCTGCTGCTGCAGCAGCAGCAGCAGCAGACGCTGCTGCCGCAGCACCTGCTGCTGCCGTTGCTGCCTGCACTGCAGCAGCACTGTCTTCGCTCTCGTTCAGTGAAACAGAGCGCAGGAAGCAAGCCCAAGCCTCTCGATATGCAGCAGCTGCAGCTGCAGCAGGAGAAGTAGTGGCAGCAACAGCAGCAGAAACAGCGACAGCAGCAGCAGGATTAGGACGAACGTTGCTGCCTGTCGTTGCACTCATCACCCTGTGTTAGTTTTCCCTGTGCTAGTTGCTCACTAGATATAATATAAGCTCTGCTGCTGCTGCTGCTGCTGTTGCTGCTGCTCCTGTTGCTGCTGCCATTGCTGCTAGTGCTGCCGCTGCCGTTGCTCACCTTCAGCTAGGGCGTCTTCTGCTCTTTGCTCGTCTGCTGCTTGGATTGCCAGAAGGGAGTTGCTGCTGCTTCGGTAGCTGTTTGCTGCGGATTGCAGAAACCCAGGGCCTGCTGCTGCTGCTGCGGCTGCCCTCGAGCCCGCTGCTGCTGGTGTTCCTATTACTGCTGCCGCTGCTCTGTCGCCTAGCCCCGCTGCTGCTGCTGACCTAGAGAAGGCGCTTAAGGGCCTCAAAAGGTCAAATGGCCCTCGGGAGGCAGCAGCAGCTGCTGGAGAAGTAGCAGCAGCAGGTTCTGCTGCGGCAGCAGCAGTGCGAACCGAGTTCAGACGCGGAAGAGACTGCAACTGCACGCTCATCTCAGCAGCAGCAACAGGCTCCAGGCTGCTGCTGCTGCTGTTGCTGCTCCTGCTATCCACGAGTTCAGCGTCAGCAGCAGCAGCAGCAGCAGCAGGGCTGCGCCGCATGGGCGGAGGGGCAGCAAGAAAGGGCAGCACTGAGAAACACCAACAGCGCGAACAAGCGTGAGACCCGCAGCTGCAGCAGCAGCAGCAGCAGTGGCTGCAGCAGCTTCAGCAGCGGCTGAAGCAGCTGCAGTAGCCGCTGCGGCAGCTGCAGCAGCAACCTGAGGACCAGCTTCGCTGCTCAGGGTGTCTGACTGCAGCAGCACGAAGAGCTGCAGAAGCAGCCAGAGCGTCAGAAGGAGCAACAGCAGCAATGGCAGTAACAGCTAATGCAACAGCAACAACAGCAGTCACAGCAGCAATAGCAGCAGCAGCAACAGTGGCCCTGTGTGGGTTATCTTCTTGCCTCTGCTTCTCACCCACTATTTGCCCCGTGACGCTAAACACTAAACCCTAAACCCTAAACGCTGAACCCTGCGTCCTAAATGTGTGTACATTTGTGACAGTAAGAAGCTCTACTATAAGCTGCGTTTCGATTGGAAGTCTTGAGCGCTAGAGGATAGTATTGGTTCTGGAGCTGCAGCAGCAGCAGCAGCAGCAGCAGCAAGCAGGAGCGAACAGCAGCAGCAGCAGCAGCAGCAGCAGCAGCAGCAAGCAGGAGCGAACAGCAACAGCGGCAGCAGCAGCAGCAGCAAGCAGGAGCGAACAGCAGCAGCAGCAGCAGCAGCAAGCAGGAGCGAACAGCAGCACCAGCAGCAACAACAGCAGCAGCAGCAGCAACAGCATCAGCAGCAGCAACACCAGCTGCCCATTAGCAGACGCCCACTTCCATCAATGGCGTCTCTCCTTTCGTCGCTACAGCCCTACAGCAGTGGCAGCTGCAGCTACTGCAGCTGGCGCAGCAGCAGCAGCAGCGGCAGAAGCAGGCCTCAGATAGCTCACTTTGCTGCTGCACTTTATTCTCTCTCTTGACTGCAGCGTCTCTTTATTACTTCTTCTCCTTTGCCTTCATCAGCTGCTGCTGCTGCAGTGCGCAGTGCTGTTGGTGCTGCAGTGCCGTTTGTGCTGCAATGCCGTTGGTGCTGCAGTGCGGTTGGTGTTGCAGTGCTGTTTCTGCTGCAGCGTGGTTGCTGCTCCTGTGCTGCTGCTGCGGCAGCTACTCTCCTTCTTCAGCCTGCAGTTGCAGCTGCAGCGCTGTCGCTCCACGGGATGCTGCTTGTGCTGCTGCAGTGTTGTTAGTGCTGCAGTGGCGTTGCTACTGCAGCATGCAGTCCTGCTGCAGTGCTGCCGCTACTTTTGTTGCTGCTGCAACAGATAACGTGTTGTTTGTCTCCTTGGCCCAGGGAACGCCTCGCAGCAGAGCTGCAGCACCAGCAGCTCGATCGCGAAGGCAGCAGCAGGAGCAACAACAACTGGCGCCGCTAGCAGGAGCGGCACCGCAGGCCCCGGCAGCAGCAGCGTATCCTTAAGCAGCTGCAGACCATCCTGCAGCAGCAGCAGGGTATACATAAGCAGCAGCAACGGCTCCTCTAGCTGCAAACAGGCAGAAGCGGCAGCGGTGAGCGCAGCAGCAGCAGCAACGGCGCTCACCCTAGCAGAGCTAGCAGCAGCAGCAGAAGCAACAGGAGCAAAGTACAGCAGCAGTAAGTAGCATCAGTAGCGCCAGCAGCAACAGCAGTAAGAGACAAGACAGCACCAGCAGCAACAGCAGCAGCAGCAGCAGCAGCAGTAGAAGCAGCTGCTGCAGCAGCAACAGCGGCAACAGGTTGAGCGGCCTACGTTTGTGTGTCTTCGCCTTCGTGCATGTGTATATACACCTAAGTAAAATTATTGCCTTTTAAACACTGAATTATCTGCATGATTAATTAATTTAGTTAATTTTGAATCGAAAACAAAGGGGAACACAAAGGAGCACCAGCCGAAGCTCAGTGGCTGCAGCCAACAGCGGCGGCAGCAGCAACGAACCTTCCATTAGTTGCAGTCTCCATAGACCTCAATAACTAAGGCAAATACCATATATTCGAGCTTGAGGGTTTAGGGTTTAGGGCGTAGGGTTTAGGGTTTAGGGTTGGGGCCAGGGGCCCTCTGCATCTGTTATTTTGGGCACGGCAGCCACACGATCCCGCGGCAGCTTGCTGCAGCAGCTGCAGCAGCAGCAGCAGCGGCTGGCGCGTGGGGCCTGTAGCAGCAGCTTTTGGTGTCGCTACTGCACTGTCGCCGACTGTCTTGCTGCTGCGAGTTCTGTGGCGGCTGCTGCTGCTGCTGCAGCGGCTGCTGCCCCACCAGTCGTTTTGCTGCTGCTGCTGCTGCTGCTGCTGGTGCAGTGGCTGCCGCCTCTCTTGCTGCTGCACCCCTGCTTTTTCTGCTGCCACTGCTGCTGCCAGAGCCCCTCCATTTCTTTCGCTGCCGCTGCTGCTGCTGCCGCTGCTGCTGCTGTCGCTGCTGCTGCTGCTGCTGCTGCTGCAGGGAACTGGATGTCTGAGCTGCGCCGCTTTTGCCCCTCTTTGGGAGCAGTGAAAGTGCTGGGGGAAAAAGAGCAAAGAAAAAAGCTGCTGCAGCACATCTTGGCCGTTTGCAGAAGGACAAAGGACACGCAGCAGCAAAAGAAGAAGCAGCAGCAGCACAAACAGTCCGCAGCTGGCAGCAAGAGGCACAGCCCCGCGTCAGACGGACACAGCAGCAGCAAACAGCAGCAGCAGCAGCAGCAACAGCAGCAGCAACAGGCAGAAGAGCAGGAAACACCCGAAAACGACGAGCAGCAGTCGCAGCCCGACCAGCAGCAGCAGCAGCAGCAAACAGAGGAGGAGGTCATTCCAGAAACAATTCATGTAGTTGTTGCTTCTTATGAAATGCTGATGGCCGAAAGAAACATTTTAGGACAAATCCACTGGGAGTACATCATCATAGACGAGGCCCACAGAATCAAAAACGAAGCAGGTCTGCTGCTGCTGCTGCTGCTGCGGCTCCTGGTGCTGCTGTTGCTGCTGGTGCTGGTGCTGGTGCTGATTCTGGTGGTGCTGGTGGTGCTGGTGGTGCTGCTAGTGCTGGCAATGGTGTTGCTGGTGCTGCTGCTGCGTCTGTTGCTGCTGTTGCTGCTGTTGCTGCTGTTGCTGCTTTTGCTGCTTTTGCTGTTTGCTGCTGTTGCTGCTGCTGATGGTGCTAATATCGGTCTGCTTATACTGCTGCTGGTGGTGCTGTTGCCGGTTGAGGCGCTATTATTTGCTGTTGATGCTGCTGTTGCTGCGGCTACTGTTTCTGCTTCTGGGTACTGTTTCTGTTAGTGCTGCTGCTACTGCTGGTGCTGCTGCTGCTGCTCGCGCTGCTGCTGCTGCTGCTACGGCATTTTGGTGCAGCAAGCTCCTCTCCTCTTTTGCTTGTGCTACGGCTGCTGCTGCTGCTGCTGCCGCTTTCGTTGCTGGCCTCTTGACGGCTGCTGCTGCTGCTGCTGCTGCAGGGAAGCTGGCAACGACTGTGCGGCAGTTTGCTTCCAACTACAGACTGCTGCTGACGGGAACGCCTTTGCAGGTTTGTTGTTTTTACCTTTTGCATTATTTTGTCTAGACTGAATCTGGATATTTGAAATTTCATTTAATGGATTCAATTTAAATTAATTTAAATTAATTGGAAGTAAAAAGCGGCAGTCTCAGAGTTAGCAGCAGCAGCAGCAGCAAGGCAAGGGTGCAGCGAAACTCACTTAAGCTGTCTAGACACCTCAGCTGCGCGATGTTTCGCTGCATGCGTCCTGTTTGCTTCCAGAATAATTTAAAATAATTAGCAATTTAATTATCTTTAATAATGAAATTAATAGTTATTTTAAATTACTTGATAGTTGCCTGGTTTAGAAGCGCAGAAAGAGCAGCACGGCATTCTCCAGCAGCAGCGCAGCGCAACGGTTGCTGCAGCAGCAGCTGCAACAGCGCAGCGCAACAGCTACTGCTGCAGCAGTCCATAATAATACGTGTAACAGCAAACAATGAGTGGGCGGCAGCCACCGAGAGAACTGCTTCTTTGGCTCTGTCCTGCTGCTGCTGCTACTGCTGCTGCTGCTACTGATGCTGCCGCTACTGCTGCTGTTTTTGTACCGTGTTGCTGCTGCTGCTGCTGCGTGTGGGCAGAACAACCTGCGAGAGCTGTGGGCGCTGCTGCACTTCCTGCTGCCGCAGCTGTTTGATGACGGAGATGAGTTTTTATCTCTTTTTGATTTAAGTGCTGCAACAAATGAAGAGGGGGCGCAGCTGACGCAGCAGCAAATAGAAGAAAGAAATTTGCAAATCGTAAAAAGACTCCACAGGATACTCAGGCCCTTCATGCTCAGGCAGGCTCCTGCTGCTGCTGCTGCTGTTTCTGTTGCTGTTGCTGTTACTGCGTGGCCTGCCGTTGCTTCTGTGCGGCCTGTTGCTGCTGCGGCTCCGCGACGTGCTGCTGCTGCTGCTGCTGCTCGATCTGCTGCCGTTACTGCAGCGGCAGCAGCTATTCTATTTCGTACTGCTGCTGTTGCTGCTACACCTGCTGCTGCTGCTACACTTGCTGCTGCAGTTGATGGTACAAATCCTGCTGCTGCTGCTGTTGCTGCTGCTGCTAAGCGCAGCCAAGCGGTTGCATTAAACCCTCAACTTCCTTGGATTCCTATCCGCTACTGCTGCTTCTGCTGCTGCCGCGGTGCTACAACTGCCGCTACTGCGTGCTATGCTGCTGCTGCTGCAGACGGGTGAAGAAGGATGTGCTGCAGGAGATGCCTCCAAAGAAAGAATTAATTTGCTTCGTGCCTTTATCAGGTACTCAAATTATTTATTAATTTAATTCAAAAATTACATTAAAAGGATAAAAGAAATCGAATAAAAGGATCAATAAATGAATAAATGAAGCCATTGGTGAATCAATTAAAATGATGTAAGGCTTGAATAAATACAACGAAAAAAATAAATAAAAAAATAAAATAGTGAAATAAATGAAATAATAGAGTAAACAAAATAATAGAATGGTTATTTATTTGTTTCCCATTATTTATTGCGTTGTGATTATTTATTTTATTGTTATTATTTATCAAATTTGCTCTTTTTTGATAAATTCGTAACATTATTACTTTTCAGGATTCTTGAATTCTTTTATTTTGCTTCTTTTTTAGTGTTTAAACTTCTCCATTTCTTTTTGCATTTCCAAGTTTGTAAATTGCTTTATCTAACTTCTTTTTGTTCTAATTTCTTTTTATTTTAATTTCTTTTTATTTTAATTTCGCGCGCTGCGGAGTTAAATGCTGCGTCTTTTTCTTCGATTTTGTCGGGATATTTTCGTTTTCTTTGATTTTTGACTAAAATAAAAGATTCCGAATTGAAAAAAAAGATATTTTGGAGGTAAAACGCGCGAAAATCGCCGGTTTTTGGACTTTTCAGACATGCAAAGACAACTTTACAAAGACCTCCTGAGCAAAAACGTGACAGCCCTGCAGGGCGAAGGCGGCCGCAGCAAGCTGCGCAATTTGGCCGTGCAGCTCCGGAAGGCCTGCAACCACCCGTACCTGTTCGACGGTGGGTCAAAACTGCGGATTTCGGCCGCCAAAAGCTCCTTTTACCCCCGAAATAACCTTTTATTCTGTTAGAAAAACAAAAATAAGTCCCAAGACTTTTCAAACGGGAAAAATGACCCAAGTTTCCCCAAAGTTCCGCTTTTCACCGGCTCCCGCGCCATCTTCGCCGCATTTCCCCCTTTTCACCAGCCCGCCTGCCCCTCGAACATAAAAACCATTCAGATGCCCCATTTAAATCCATTTAAATCCGTTCAAATAGATTTAAATCCATTTAAATTAATTTAAATCCACTTAAATCCATTTAAATAGATTTAAATACATTTAAATTCATCTAAATCCACTTAAATCCTTTTTTGGTTTTTCTCGTCACATTTTCTGCAAATTCGCCGAAATGTTCGCCGAAAAGATCCTTTTCGCGGCCAACTCGCTGCTGAAAAAAGGGAATACGGAATTCCAAAAAGTGCAGATCTCCTTTAAAAGCCAATAAAGGAAAGTAAAAGGCAATTGTTGAGTTTAAGACCTAACAATTCACAAGTTGTGAACTTTGATTAACTGCCAAATGTGAAAAAAAGAAAGAAGCGAGAGAACAAGAAGAAAAGGTGCTTCTGTGGCGGGCTCGGAAGAGAGGAAAAAAGCGCGGAAAACGCGAGGAAAGAGTGGAAAAAAGCGGAAAAAAGCGGAAATAACGAACTAAAAAGAAAGAAAGGGAAATAAAAAGAAAAAGAAGGAAATAAAAAAAGAAAATAGAGAAAAAGGTGGCGAATTTGGAAAGTTTTGGCGTTTTCAGGATACGAACCGGCGGGAGGAGAGCCGTTTGGGGAGCACCTGGTGGTGAACAGCGGAAAGCTGCGCTTCTGCGACAAACTGCTGCAGCGGCTAATCAAAGGAGGCAGCAGATGTCTTTTGTTTTGCCAAATGACAAGAATGATGGACATTTTGGAGGACTATTGTTGCATGCGGGGCTTCAGTTACTGCCGGCTGGACGGCCAGACCAGCGCGCAGCAGCGAGAGCAGCAGCTGCAGCTCTTCAACAGCAGCAGCAGCAGCAGCAGCAGCTGCAGCAAACCCGTCAGCATCTTCCTCCTCTCCACGAGGGCCGGCGGAGTCGGCACCAACTTAGCAGCAGCAGATACTGTCATTCTTTTCGACTCCGACTGGAACCCCCAGGCAGACCTCCAGGCCATGGACAGGGCCCACCGCATAGGTACAGCAGCAGCAGCAGCTGCAGCAGCAGCAGCAGCAGCGGCAGCTTCTGCTGCTGCAGCGGTAGTGTGGGGGTAGGAGTAGGTGTAGTCGGGGTGGGGGGGGTGGAGGGGAACGGCTCCGGCAGCAGCAGGGTTAGAAGCAGCAGCAGCAGCAGCATTAGAAGCAGCAGCAGCAGCAGCAGGAGTAGTAGTGACAACACAGTAGGCAGCAGAGAAGATTTAGGAGCAGCAGTAGAAGCAGCAGCAGCAGTAGGAGACGGCACAGCAGGCGAATGCGCAGCAGCAGGAGCAGCAGCAAGCCTCGCAGCAGCAGCAGCAGCAGCAGCATTTGTTTCTTTGCTGCCCAGGCCAAACAAAAGCAGTGAATGTTTACCGATTAATTCACGAACATACAATTGAAGAAAAGATTTTGGAAAGAGCCAATCTGAAGCTGCAGCTCGGTGGGTTTTTAATTCTTTTTTTTAATTTCTGTTTTTAGGTTGTTTTCTAAATTCTTTTTTGAATTCTTTTTAAAATCCTTTCTTAAATTTTTCATTAAGTTCTTTGTTAAATTCTTTCTTTTCTGAATTCTCTTTTTTACTTCCTCATATAAACACTCTTTTGAATTCTTCTTCTAATTCTTTTGTGAGTTTTTTATTTCGAATAAATGTTTTGAAGACCCTTTTCTTCTCTTTGAATATCTTCATTTCAAATAAATATTTCGAAACCCTTTTATTCACCAAAACCCTCCTAAAACCCTCAAAACTTCTCTCTTCCCTCCAAACCCTTAAACCCTCTTTAAACCCCCTTTAAATCCCCTTTAAACCGTCTTTAAACCCTCTTTAAACCCTCTTTAAAAACATCCCAAAACCATTTCAAAACCTGCTCTACACCCTCTCCAAACCCTCTCTAAAACCCTTTCAAAACCATTCCTTCCCCCCCTAAACCCCCTCAGAATCCCCTCAAAACCCCTCTCAAAACCCTGCTAAGAACCCTCAAAACGCCCCTCAAAACCTCCCTCAAAACCCCCTCAAAACCTCCCTCAAAACCCCCTTAAAACCTCCCTCGAAACCCCCCCAAGCCCCCCGTCAAACCCCCTTAAAACCCCGTCAACCCCCCATCAAAACCCCTCATAACCCTCTCAAACCCCTCTGAAGCCCCAGCAAAAGCCTCTCAAACTCCGAAAAAGTGTTTGGAAATCGGGGCTTTGGCTGTTTGCTGCTGCAGACACCGCGGTGATTCAGCAGGGGCGGCTGGGGGAGGGACGCGGCGAGGACTTCTCGCAGGGGGCGCTGCTGTCGATGGTGTCTTTTGGGGCGGAGCACATTTTCAAGTCTTCGAAAAACGCGGACTTGACCGAAGAAGAACTCGACGCCATCCTCGCCAGGTCCGCCTTCCAACGGCCTCCAACTTCCCCTTTTCGCGGCTCAAAAAGACTCAAAAAGTTAAAATAAATTCAAAAAAACCAAAACAATTAAAAAAATTAAAGACAAAAGTTGAAAAAAATTAAAAAAATTCGAAAGAATGCAAAAAATACATTCCTTGCACTTTCCCCACCACCCCTGGTGCTTCAAGGAGTGCCGTGCGCTGCTGCTGGAGCTGCTTTTGCTGCTGTTGCTCACTGCCGCTGCTGCTGCTGCTGCTGCTGCTGCTGGTGTTGTGCTTGCAGGGGCCAGGAGCGGACGGAGCAGATGGAGGCGATGCTGCAGCAGCAGGTGCGGCGGTCGCTGCTGGACTTCAGCAGCAGCAGCAGCAGCAGCAACTTGTACGACGTGGACTTGTGCTATCCTGAAGAAAGAAAAGCAGCAGATAGAGACGCCTGGCTGCAGCTGGCGAAGGAGCAAATGTCCACAGAAAGGGAGACTCGCAGGCGCCACAGAAGCAGCTACAGAGAGGGCCCCGAGCAGCAGCAGCAGCAGCAGCAGCAGCAGCAAACCGCCAAGGACGCCCGAAAGCCCCCACACATCCCCCGAGTCCCCAAACTCCCAGTCATGCAGGTCCGCTAAGCTCGCTAGGGTTTAGTAGGGTTTACGAGGGTTTCCTAGGGTTTACGTGGGCTTATTAGGGTTTACGAGGGTTTATTAGGGTTTATTTATAGGGTTTATTAGGGTTCGTTAGGATTTATTAGGGTCCTTTGGGGTTTAATAGGGCTTCCTACAATTTCGTTAGCGTTTATTGGGGCTTATTAGAATTTATTAGGGTTAATTCGGGTTTACTAGGGTTTGCTAGGGTTTAGCGTTTAGCGTTTAGGGTTTAGGGTTTAGGGTTTGGCAGTGAGGAGCGTGGGGAGGCACAAGGCAGCGGATTTTTTGCAACCCCCCAAGCAAACGCGCAGGAGTCGGGAGGTTGGCAAACCCAAAAAAAGGGTTTGCGAGGGTTTGGAGGGGCGAGGGTTTGGTTTGAAACGCCTTCAGGAGTGGCAGTTTTACAACAGAGAAAGAATCCTGGAGCTGCATGCGCTGGACTTGGCCTGGCGGCGCTCGCTGGGCCAGGCCAGGGCCCCCACTGCAGCAGAAAGGCAGGAGAAGCAGCAGCTAATTGAACAGGGCTTCAAGGACTGGTCCAAGAAGGACTTGATGGCCTTCGTCAGGCGAGCCGCTGCTGCTGCTGCTGCTGCTGCTGCTGCGGATGCGGGTGCGGGTGCGGGTGCGGGTGCGGGTGCGGGTGTGAATGCTGCTGCTGCGGCGCGGGGGCTGCGGGGGTGCTGCTGCGGCGCTGCGGGAGATGCTGCGCGGGGTACTGCTGCTGCTGCTGCTGTTGCTGCTGGGGATGCTGCTGCTGCTGATGCTGTTGTTCCTGGGGATGCTGGATATGCTGCTGGGGATGACCAGCACTTTGCTGCTGCAGCGAGCTTTTATTTGCTGCTGGTGCTGCCGCGCCCTAGCGACTTGCTGCTGCCCCAGTTGCTGCTGACTTATTTGCTGCTGCTGCTGTGGCTGCAGATGAGCTTGCTGATTGATTTGCTGCTGTCTTCGGTGCTGATTAGTTTGCTGCTGCAGTTGCTGCTGACTAGGCTTGATCATTAGAGGGAAAAGCAGAGCATAAGTGAAACCTGTTGCTGCAGCTGTTTTTGCTGCTGTTGCTGCTGCTGTATCTGGTGCTGCTGCTCTCGCTGGTGCTGCTGTATCTGCTGCTGCTGCTCTCGCTGCTGCTGCTGCCCAACCTTCCGCTCTTTCTGCTGCTGCTCCTCTCTCTGATGCTGCCGCTTCTCCCCCCCTCCTCACCCCCCTCCTCCCCCTCCCCCTCCTCCTCCCCCTCCACCGTCGCCGCCGCTGCTGCTGCTGCTGCTGCTGCTGCTGCTGCAGAGGGAGCGAGATGTACGGGCGCGAGGACCTGAGTCGCATAGCGACGGAGGTGGAGGGCAAGAGCGAAGCTGCTGTGCGGCTTTATGCTGCTGCCTTTTGGAGCCGCCTGGGGGAGATCAGCGACAGCAGCAAACTGCTGAAGCGCATTCAGGACGGCGAGGCGGTGCTGCAGCGCCGCAGGGAGCTCGAGCAGGTGCCACTTAGTCGATTAATTGATTCATTACAATTAATTAATTAATTAATTATAATTAATTAATTAACTGAAATTAATTCATTCATTAGCTCGTTTATTTGCTGTTTTGCCGGGGTTTCGGGTTGCGGGGTGCGCGCTTCGCCTGGGGTGCTGCTGCAGTTGGAGGGCTGCGGTTGCGGTTCTTGACCTGCTGCTGCTGCTACTGTCATGCTGCTGCTGCTGCTGCTGCTGCAGGTGATCGTGCGGCGGCAGCAGCAAAGCGACTTCCCTTGGCGGCGTCTGCCGATCAATTTTGCTGCTGCAACAAAAGCTAAATCCTTCTTTACAGAAGAAGAGGATGTCTTTGTTCTTAACCTCACTACGCTGCTAGGTACAACCTCTGCTGCTGCTGCTGCTGCAATTGCTATTGGTGCTGCTGCTGCTGCTGTTGCTGAAAATTTATAGAACGAAAGAACAATTAAGTAAATCAAGTAATATTTATTATCCAAGCTTCCATTAATTAATTAACTTATTGATTAATTAATTAAACAATTAAACAATTAAATAATTAATTCATTAATTAATTAATAAGTTTGTTTCACTGCGTCCCAGGATATGGCAATTGGGAGAAGCTTCGAAGCCAAGTGGGCGGGAAACTGCTGCTGCTGCTGCTGCTGCTGCTGCTTCTGCTGCTGCTCCTGCTCCTACCGCTGCTGCTGACGCCCATAGCGATGCTGCTGCCGCACCTGCTGCTGCTGCTGCTGTCGCATCTGCTGCTGCTGCCGCTGCTGCTGTCACATCTGCTGCTGCTGCTGTTATCTCAGCCTACAGAAGGAGCATGAGAGCAAACGCAGTTTTCTCGCTGCTCTCCAAAGTAGCTAACTAATTATTTCATTAATTAATTAATTATTTGTTATTTTAATTATTTAATGGTTTAAATTGATTTAATTAATCAAATTCCGTTTTCAATTGTTCAGGTTCTGAGAGACACGACCTGGAGACGGGACTGGTTCTTCAGGTCGAGAGCAGCAGCAGACTTGGGCAGGAGAGCCGAGGCCATCATCCGCCAGCTCAAAAAAGAAGAAGTGCTGCTGCTGCTGCTGTTGTTGCTGCTGCTGTTGCTGCTGTTGCTGCTGCTGCTGTTGCTGGTGCTGCTGCTGTTGCTGCTGCTGCTGTTGCTGTTGCTGCTGTTGCTGCTGCTGCTGTTGCTGCTGTTGCTGCTGCTGCTGTTGCTGTTGCTGCTGTTGGTGCTCCTGCTGTTGCTGCCGCTGCTATTGCTGCTATTGCTGCTGCTGCTATTGCTGTTGCTGCCGCTGCTATTGCTGCTATTGCTGCTGCTGCTATTGCTGCTGCTACTGCTGCTGCTGTTGCTGCTGCTGTGGCTCCTGCCGTGACTGGTGGGCCTGCTGCTGCTGCTGCTGTCACTCTTCGGGCTGCTGCTGCTATTGCTGCTCTTACTGTCTGATGCAGCTGCTGCCGCGGCTGCTGCTGCCGCTGTTTGTGGCAGTGCTGCTGCTGCTGCTAGCCCTGCTGCTGCTGCTTTTTTCCTTCATGCGGCTCTGTGCTGCTGCTGCTGCTGCTGCAGGGGGAGCGGTTTTCTCGTGGGCGCCGCCGCCTGGATATGCCAGCAGCAAAGCAGCCGTCCCCTGGAGCTGCAGCAGCAACACCAGCAGCAACAGCAACTACACCAGCAGCAACAACGCCGGCAACGACGCCGGCTTCAACGCCAGCAGCAGCGGCTGCTGCTGCTTCTCCTGCTGCAGCAGAAGAGTTCAACAGCAGCAGCGCCGCCGATGGGGCGGCCACGCCTGTGGGGTTGCAGCCAACTCCAGCAGCAGCAGCAGCAGCAGCAGCAGACACAGCTGCCGCCGAGTCTCCGCTTTCCGCTGAAACAACAGACGCGAAGCGGAGGCGATTGATGCCCAATGCAGGCTAGCAGCAGCAGCAGCAGCAGCAGCAGCAGCAGTAGCAGCACCGATGACAGCAGCCGTAGAAGCAACCACTGCAGCAACAGCGCAGTTGCGGCAGGTGATGCAGCAAACGCTGCACTAGCAGTAGCAGCAGCAGCAAGTGCAGCGCACTGAAGCAGCAGCTGCATCACCTGCCTCACCTGCAGGAGCAGCTGCTGCAGTTGTTGCTGCTGCAGCTGTTACGGCATAGGCCTCAGCAGCCGAAGTCTATGCACAGCCAAAGGTGACCAGCATTTGCATTTATTTGTTTTGTTGGATCTTCCTGTTCAATAGTATTAGCTGCAATGAGGGAGGCAGCACTGCTGCAGCAACTGCAGCAGCTGCAGCAGCTGCAGCAACAGCAGCAGCAGCTGCAGCAGTTGCAGCAACAGCAGCAGCAGCTGCAGCAGCTGCAGCAACAGCAGCAGCAGCTGCAGCAGCTGCAGCAACAGCATCAGCAGCCGCAGCAGCTGCAGCAGCAGCAGCAGCAGCAGCAGCAGCTGCAGCAGCAGCAGCGGCTGCAGCAG